CATGCAAAAATACACACAGTTATGTTTTATAACTAAACCATCCCAATGACTCCAACAGGGCTATTTGTGACAAAGTCAGTTTGTCATAGAACTGGAGCTTCAGTTGGTAGATAAGCACACACTAAATAGACAGGAACATAGTTTTGTTAAAAATATTAAGGTTAAAAAAGTGTCTTAGCCACATCATGTGTAACCTTAAATCCCAAAGAATTATGAGATTGAAAAACTTGATTAATCTATAATTAGCAGGGTTTTTTTCTTAGGCAATATAGAAATTCATAGTCGTTTTAGATGTAAAATATGTATTTCATCCTAAAATAAGCATGCACAATGATGCAAACAGAGCCTCTGGCTAAAAGACAAAAAAACAGGGGGCAAAGGCAAACAATAACCCATCAGGTGTTAGGAAAAAAAAAAAAAAAGAGAACATTACGAAGAAGGGACCTCTGGAAAAAAAAAAAAACAAAACTTGGTTCAACCTTGCTCAAAGCAGTGCTAACTTTGATCAGGTGACAAATAATAGTTTGCTTCAGGTCTAGCTTTGAAATTTAAAATATAGTAATAGAATTACCAAAACATGTAGATACTGATTTTTGTAACCTTGTACCAGTGATCCTATCATAGCTCACCATGATGAAATAGCACAGAGCTTTTTATCTCAGGTGTCTATAATTCTGTTAGGAAGAGAGCAACAGAGAAGGTTCAATAGTTTTGACTTGCCAAAAAAAGAAAAAGGAAAAAAAGAAAAGAGAGGAAGAGTCCTATGTGCAGCAACAAAGTAATTTTCTTTCCCCAACTCTTCTCTATCCCTCTCTTCCCAACTATTCATAGTGATATAGATATAACATTACAAATCAAGCCCTCTGTGACAACTGTCAGTTCAGGGCAGCGTTAGGTAATACATGAATTCACTTCAGGGAGGAATGAAGATTTAAGGTTTAAAATTAGTATTTGGAACATGGAACAGATGCAAGCAAAGAGGTCAGAAAGGACACCACAAAAGTCATTGTCGGCAGGGGTTCTTGAGAGGAAGGAGAACAGCTAGCACAAAAGCACTTCAAAATAACACCTCCTTATATTTATTAATCAACTATCTGACTCAGTACTTTAAGTCTCAATAAAAGCTTTGTATTCTATGTTAGCTAACACCAAAGCATTGTAATTGCTATATACACAGCCTTTCCACAAGAGTCACACTACATTTATAGCTCAGTGCAATTCTGCTGGGTAGGGCCTGTCAGCAGAGATGAAAGAAAAGATCACACTCATCTTTTATCATCAATACTTCCAGTGAAGCTTCAAGACCCAGCTCAGACCACTGAGATGACAGAATACTACCCAGCCATAATTCATTTTCTGATGGTAAAGGAAGCGCAAACAGCATGGAACTACTAGAAGAATGCACGTGCCTGGGCCCACTTGCATATAACATCTACCCAAGCAAGGATGTGGAGAGGGCTGGGTCAATCACTGTGTTAACACCAATCTGCTTAAAAGACCTTTGAGTGTGAAGCTAAAAAAACATTGCATTGTCAAAACCATTTGGCAGTTTCATCAGCTCTTTAGACCATAGCCCAATGTTGCTATCAAAAAAAACCCCAAAACCCATAATAGAAGTAACTGGTTTCATCTCTCACTTCTGAATGCAGGAATGATATTGTCCTTCCTAAACCCTATGCCCCAGTCTTCTCCTGCTGAGAATTGCCTCTTGGGTTGCAGAAGGTCCAGGACACAGAGGGAAGATCCTGAGAGGACTACATTATGATTTTGAGTGCCATACTTCTGATGCAGAGTTGGAACCACATACTGGTTGTCTCTTATCTTCCCTCAAGAGGCCTTTGTAAGGTGGGATAATACTTGGTACTTGAGTAACCACTGAGAAAAAGCAGGCCTGTTTTCTTGTGGCAGTAACACAGCTAGTATTGTTAAACAGGAAACAGCAGAAGCTCATTGCTTTCAAATCCCTTAGCCAGGAATGGGGAAGAAACAGAAGAGCATGCTTTTAGAAAAGGACACCTGAACATCGCACTTCTTACTTCTTCCAAAAGGAAATTCAAATGAAATTTTGGACAGTTACAAGTAAAAGCCCCCACTTTGGGCTGACAGAAAGAAGTGCTGGGCAGCACCAGGCAGCTTTAGTCTGCAGGAGTGACAGATAGTACTCTCTACAAAAAAACTCAAGGCATCAGTGTAAAAACCCTTCTGTAGCACAGATAACTCATTCAACTAGCAAGGTCAGTGATAGCTAAAGCCATGTCCCAGAAGCTACAAGGCCAATACATTTGCATCACTGTTACAGTAGTAAGGACTCAAGGCACATTCTTTCAGCAACACTCATTTTATTATACTCTTTGGACTGGAAGTATACTATCAGAAAGTTAGTAGCTCTGGCACACTGAACAATTAGGATTTTGTTATATACATACTATTATGTCTATTTTCATCACAAACAGTTTAAACAAATCAAAAAACCTGAACAGCTTGTTTCTTAGATTTGTCAAAACATTCTTTCTGAGCAATTCAGTGTCAGATGTCTTAATAAAGAAGTCCACATGAGAAGAACCAAATATTGCTCCCAATGAATACACTGAACAACATCAATGAAGACTTAGTCCTATTCAGACATCTCCAGTTATATCCTTTCACACACAAGCATTGTTCATGCACCTCAAAAGGAATTCATAGAAGCCCAGACACTAGCAGTTAGAATATATTAGCTTTGATTTCTACAGTATTCGTAAGAGTTTTGGGCCATGCTTTACTTCCCCCCCAAGTGTTTAAGTCATCTATTGCACACATATATGCACTCTCATCTTTGTTAAGTGATTTTCTAGTGAAACTATAAGCTATCTTCTGTTCAGAGATTGTCCCAAGCCATTAAATAGTAACAACATATTAAACACAGATGTAATGCCCTTCCGGACAGGCCTGTCAGCAGATTTGTTACAGTAATCTGAATGGAGTATCTGGAAACCTACATGTGACGGCTGCAACTCTGACAGAGCTATGAGTTCTACTCAGACAGCTTTTGCAAGGTATCAGTGATAGGAAGAAGCTGAACTGCATTTTCAAATGTCCTTGTTGCATTTACATTTCATTTTTCAGCCAAGGCTTGTTCGAACTAAAGAAGTTGCAGTAATAACCCAAATGCAGTTGCTTCTTACCCATCCCTCCTATGAGGCTAATTCAAGAACCTGAAAGGGTCAGCATCCAGATAACCTCAACATTTTGCTCTTCAAAAACTGTAACAGAAAGCTGCACAACTTCAAAAGACATATTTCAAGATAATCAAACACTTCAGCTGGAGTATCCAAGACCTTATGTCAAACCATAGTACAAACTAGAAGTTTGTATGAAGTATTATCAGTTATTATTGAAATAAATCCTAAGGGCTCCATGCTCTTGGCAGTGTGATGTCAAAGTGGAAGCACTTCAAAGTATCATCTTGTTTCTATACTCCTCTTTGAGTTGGATATATTCCTGGACTTTAAGAAATTCTGTTTGATTGGTTGTGAAGGTTGGTGTCCTTATATACAAACCAAACATTTCCTCCCCATAAAACCATATTAAGCAAGCCAAACACCTGTAGGTTAAGAAAAAATGTGAGATTAAGGTTTATTTGGTTTGGTTTTTTTTTTTTTTTTAATTAGAATATGACTTCAAGGCAAGCCAGAAACAGCCGCTATCTTTGGCACCCCTTTGATTCGGACAAGACATTTCCACATGCTTTAGAGTACTGCAAGCTATTTTAACAGACTTCTTTGGAAATCAGATAGTCAACTTACTGTCCTTTGCATGGAATTGGACAAATTCTTTTCAGTCACTCAGCACCTCTGCATATGCACATCCAGAGCACACGATTAATTATTACTGGGCCAATGAATAACAGTCAGAGTTTTGAAAAGCAGGATTCACTAGGAAGATCATACAATAAGCCTCATTGGCCCTGCTGTGAAGAATTCTAAGAACACGAGCTTTATATCATTGTATTACAAGGAACCTCTATTTGATGTGTAAAAATGCTCACAGTTGATTAAAAAGCTAGGTTCAACACCAAAAGACAGAGCAGGAAGCGTCAAACCACTTGGGTGGCCCAGTAACATATTTTAAGGTGCTCTTGGCTACAGACAGAAATAGAGATGCAAATGTGTCTGGAAATGCTGCATCTAACAGCTCTAGAGACAGATCCTACAAGTTGTTTCTCTTAATTTCTTTGAAGAAACAAGTTTCCTTCTAAAGAAAAAATTCAGTTGGTGTTTTACCACAGTATTAATGGGCCTGAATGACTGATAACCCATAAAGCAATCTTAACACAAAGCAACACATGCAATCAGTAGAACAGGGCTCTCAGGTGCCTTGGCTATTTTATAACACATTTATTGTAACCCTGTAGCAGAAGGCATACATACCACAGACACATTCAGAGTTCCCATGCTGGTCACAGAAGCAAAACGACAAGTTGTTCCTGGTGCTTTGCAAGATTCAATTCCCGGAATAATGCTGGCCCCTGTGGACATTTTTATGTCAGCAAGTGCCTTTGCCCAAGCAGAAGTACTGACCAGCCACAGAAAGGCTGTTATGACAGTGATAGCCAAGTCCTACAGAAGAGAAGTACTCATTATTAGGTTAAAAAAATTTGCATGAATGTACATAAGAGAGCAAGGCAGAGACAGTATCAATTATATCGTCAAAATAACTGCATCAGTGCTAATGATCACAAGCAAGTTTAGCCATTAACGATGTTGCAGTTACAAACACAAGTTATATTCTGTGTTGATAATCAGATCCAAAACTGTATGCCTTTTGCATCTATCAAGCATAAGCAATCTTATCTTTTGTAAGAAATTAGTTTCTAAAATCAGATGCCTAGCACTTATGTTATAAAAATTTAAGTCAAAGTTTATAAAAGTGGGGGTGACAGGGGAGGAAGGGTAGAGGATTTAAATTTGGATGGCCGATATGCTAAAATTTGACTTGAAAGGTTGCTAGGTCTGTTTCTGGGCATGCTCTGAGACTTCTCATTCTGAAGATCAGGACTTTGGTATTTAAGGTGACTAAAATTCCCAAGATAAGTAACTATTTCCCTCTGCCAATTGCATCTGCACAGAGGTGCTCTACACAGGAAAAACTCCTAGAGACTAACAGAGGAGGTTCCACCTATGGAACAATTG